GTCGTTTTGAGACAGGGTCTCCCTGTAGCCCCAGCTGTCCTGGAACTCACTATGTAGACCAGGCTGGCCTTGAAATCACAGAGATCTGCCTGCCTCTGCCTCCCGAGTGCTGGGATTAAAGGTGTGCGCCTCCACACCCGGCTTACACTTCCATTTTAATAATATCAGACATTATTATATATATTTGGGACCAGGCATCAGATCAAAAGAATCGCTGATCATACCTTCACACAGACAGGAGTGAGCTCACACTGAGAGTCCAGGCCAAGCTCGTGTGCCCCACTTCAGCAGAGGCCCAGGCTTGACTAGCTGGCTTTGATTCCCTCTCTCCTTCCCCCTGGCCCCTTCTCGTGGTGTTCCCTCTGCAGGAGCTGTCCTGCTTCTCCCCCTGCTCAGCCCCACTACTAGGGGTCAACTTGTACTCTCCTGCTGGCTGGGCCCTGCCTTTCTGAGGAGCTCCAGGTACTTGCCTGAGGCTCTCCTAATCCTAGCCAAACCTCCTTCCACCTTGGATCTGGGGCTAATGGGCAAGTCTCTTCACTAGGGTGGGGACAGGGACACTGGTCCCATCTACTTCAGAGAGAATGCTCTGCCCGTTCAGCTCTGCCAGGGGTCCACACAATGGCCTGAGAGGGCACAGCTGTTGGTAAAGTGGCTCTCTCTCATCCTTTCCTGCCCCCAAGAGGGGCAGAGGGAGGCCCCAGGAAGAGCAGACAATGTGGAGGTAGGTAGACATATGAAGGAATTGTGAAATAGTGTTCCTATGACTTTAAAAATATGCCTGGTGAATTAAACTGAACCTGGAGCATGTATATTTGGAGAGCCTTGTGTCCCATGAGAAAGTTTATGCAAGAATGCTTGCTAGGGAGGTATCTCTGGAATGCCAGGTACCCCCTCTAGTTTCTCATGAAACACTTGACCTCCTAAGTAGACACAGCTTGGAGATAATGTTGCTGTGCTCATCTTATTTTGAACTGTTATATTCTCGCCATATTATTACTGTTCAGTTCAGTAGACATGTGACTATGGTTCTCATGAGTATGAGAGTAAAAGCAGAGCTGTCATGGAAGCCTGGGTCCCTGGCTTATTTTCAGTTCTGTAGTAATCCATTCAGGTCCTGTGGCCGACCCTGGTGGCCACAGGTGTAGGCCTCACTCTAAGGCTAGAGAAGAGAGCGGCTGTGCACATTGCCAGGATGGAGATGTCCAGCCGGCTCATCAAGTGGCATGTGAACTATGAGGCCCTACACAGACCTAGGAAATCCAGAGTCTCTCCTCTGTGTTTGGAAAGTCCTTGTGTACCCACTGTCCTAACAAGAATAGGTCTCAAACAGTCCTGCACCATGTCACACCACTTACAACATGGACTTCAGTTGCTTACCCAGCCCGGCAGGGTTTCCTGTCCCGTGGAGAGCCCACCGTGTGCTGTGCTGGGAGGAAGGACACTGTTCCTTCATAACAGTGATGAGAAAGGAAGGTCTTCAACCCTGGGGAAAGAACAGCCGAGGGAGGACAGCCACAGTGTTACTGCCTAGTTACAAATGTCATCACCACATGGACGCATGCACATCCACACAGGCATGCATACACACACACACACACACACACACACACACACACACCACACACCTACACATGCACATACATACACTCAGAACACACAGATGCATGTACACACACATACATAATGCACACATATATGCACACAGAACATACAAGCACATGTGCACTCATGCACAGATATACACACATGCACCATTAAGAGGACAGGGAGTTGACCAGTCTGCCTTCAAACTGGGAAAGCAGGATCCTTGGTATCTGTGACCCTGCATGGCCTCCATGATGTGGCCTGTGACGGCTCAGGGTCCCCACCTTCCAGCGATGCCCCTGCCTCCTTTGTGCTTGGCTCCTACCAGTCATCATCTGTGACATTAGTGGTCTCCTGCCTCCCAAGGACCAACTGTGACATGCTGTCCACTGTGCTGCCTGTGTGCTACATGTCAGAGATGGCCTCTGACAGCACCTGGGAAGAGCTATGAGCAGAAGATCCAGGAGTGGACCAGAGGCACAGGAGGCTGTGCCACATTAGGGCAGGTGTGTCCTGCAAGTCTTAGGGTGACCACCTATTCTGGGGCTACCAGGTCTCATGTGACCCTACAGGACCATTTAGTCTAGTTCATTACGTTGTGGCATGGTGCTGGTCTTGGGGAGTTCACCCCACCTAACCCCCAGCACACCAAGCCCTCCCATCTCACACAGGGGCCAGGTCCCACTTCACCACATGCTCATCTACAAGACCACAAGCACTTAGCCTCCTGGGGAGAGCTCTGGCTCCAGGTCCCCCAGCAAGCCTGACTGAACGCCCTATACCCTATTCTGGGAGCACAAGGTGACAGCCCTGTGTCAGGTGCTGGGCGTAGGAAGCACACCCAGGAGAGACAGCTCTATGGACTAAGGCTCTGGGCTGCCTTGCAGAGATTCCTGCTGTTTCTGCCTGCATCTTGGCTTCTCTCCAGGTGGGCCCTAGGAGGTATCCAGAGTCTCTCGGGGGAGGTGACCCACAGTGAGCCCCTCAGTCATGGTCCTGGTCAAGGATTGGTGCACTACATTGGGGTCCAGCTCGGTGCTGGGGATAGTTGTCCCATGACCAGCAGAGGCCTCCAGCGTACCTCTCTCCAAACCCTAGGTCCCCATCTCTGCCTAGTCGGTCAGCCCTGGGATGTCATGGGTCCAGGACAGAATGCCTCATTTTGTACATCATTTTTCTTTATTTCACCCTCAAATGCCCAGCACAGCAGACACTTTCCACCTCCCTACAGTCAAGCGCCAACCCCTGTGCGCAGCCTCTGGTGGCTTGGTCAGGGCTGTAATGCTGGGGTGACCAAGGCCAGGAGAGCTGCTCAGCTGGAGAGTAGGGGTGGGGAGAGGAGGGACAGGGTGGTGACAGCCACCCTCTCAGGTTTAGCAGGTGGGAGGGGTAGGTTCTGGTGTTTGGAGTTAGTCAACTTTGCAGTTTGGCACAGGCAGGCTATAGAGAACAGAGACCAGATTAGTGGCCTGCACTAAAAACAGTGAAGGGATTCATCTGGACCCCCGGGATGCCATACTTAAATCTGGCTCTTTTCCTAAGTCCCTCTCTCTATATTTCAAAAATATAGGGAAAAGGGATGGTACCCACTCACTACCCCAAACCAGCAGGTAGTCACTTCTGTGTAGCCTGAAGCTGACTTGTGTTCTTGTTCATGCTGGCTCTGTGATCGGTTAAGAGAGGGCATGCCTGTCACTGAGGGCTGCATCTGTATCCTTGGGGATGAGGATGGCACTGGTGAGCATACTGTTTGCGGGCCTGTCCCCTACTAGTTGCATCTTGGAGTGCCCTGAAGTCTGAGCCATAACAAGCCACCCAGGGACATTGATGCCCACCCCCTCTGGGAGACACGGGCCTGCAGGAAAGATGCCACAACACCTAGGAAAATCATTGAAGCACCCTGACTATGGCGTCAGCTGTGAAGTGGGGACTGAGTCTCTGCTGCACAGTGAAGGGTGATGGAGGACGGGGACGCCTGTCTAGCCCTGACCTACCCCACTGCTGTACCATTGAAACAGAGGCAGACCTCAGACCTCTCCTGTCCTAGTCAGCAACACATGTTCAAGGGAAGAGGGATACTGGGTCTCAATGTCTTCGCAGTAAAGGGTCTTGACATTTCAACTGTGATGCTCGGGGTGGTTGTAAAATGGATCTTTTCCTCTGAAAACTTCTACTTTGACCTCCTAGGCTGGTACTGTCTACGTGACCGAGGAGAAAACAGATTACCCAACCTACAGGGCCTCCCCAAATCTGATGCTAACAAATACTGTGATGCTCAGGAGTGTGCCAAATTTACCTGTGTTTGGGTCCAGCAAATAGGTTCTGGTCACACTAGCCAGATTCAAGACCACGTCCCCATTCTGGAAAGCAAGGCCCTTAGTGTCCTTGTCTGTCCCTGGTGATGGCTTACCTCTGATGGATGTTCTGTGGATTGTTAACTCGATGCATGTAAACTCAACATACCCGAAAAGTCGTATCTGATGAGCCCCATCCACCTCTTCTTTTCACTGTCCTTAATTAAGTCCCCATAGAAGCCGTAGCCCAACAGGGAAACCGAATAACGCAACAGAGTGTTGTTGTGGTGCACGGAGGACACGTCCATGGCCAGAGAGTCCCCTGTGAGAAAGGACTGCTGTGAGGAAGCCCTGTCCCCACCCTGACCTCCTCTGCTCTGCCCCAGACAGCACTCTACAGACAGGAGGAGCCTGTCTGCCTCAAACAGAAGAAATAGCACATCCAATACGGCCTCCAGTGGCTAGATGGGTGTCCCCTTCCTCCTTCACTGCTCCATGTGTGCCCTCCCCTGACAGAGGAGGCCTAGCCTATGGCCAAGGTAGCTGTGCTGTCCTGCTAGAACCTCCAAACGAAACTGGCCTCCCAAATAGCAAGCCGGGCTTGGGGAGCTGTCTGTGGGAACAGGACAGAACGTGCCCAGGATGCCACTGACTGAAACAAAGGTAGATTTGAGATCAGAAGAATATGTATATAGCATTTAAATTTTATTCATTCTTATTTCATGTGCATGAGTGTTTTGCCTGCATGTATATAAGTACACTCCTGTTATGCAGAGTCCGAGCAGGCCAGAAGAGGGTGTTGGATCCCCTGGAACTGGAGTTATAGGTAGTGGTTAGCCACCATGTGGGTGCTGAGAATTAAATCCAGGTCCTCTGGAAGAACAGCCAGTGCTCTTAACCACTGAGCCATCTCTCCAGCACCATGTATGCAACATTTAAAACACAAAATCTGACAAGTGTGGTGGCACACACCTGCAATCTCAGCACTCAGGAGGCTGAGGCAGGAAGATCATGAGTTTGAGGCCAGCCTAGGCTATCTAGAAAAACCCATCCCAAAGTAAGTAAGTAAGTAAGTAAGTAAGTAAGTAAGTAAGTAAGTAAGTAAATAAATAAATAAATCACAAAATCCCATGACTGTTTTATATATTCATTTATTTACTTACTTAATTTTATGTGTATGAGTGTTTTGCCTGTATGTACATAAGTGCACGCCTATTGTTCATAATCTGAGGAGGCCAGAAGAGGGTGTAGGATCCCCTGGAACTGGCATTATAGGTGGTAGTTAGCCACCATGTGGGTGCTAAGAATTGAATCCAGGTCCTCTGGAAGAGCAGCCAGAACTCTTAACCTCTGAGCCACTCCTATTTTGAAACATAGCATGTTAGTGGCTCCAGATAAGACTTGACCCGCTTTAACGGGGATGAGGACTGGGAAAGCACCAACGATCCATCAGGCAGGTGCCCTGAAGGTCTCCTAGAACCTCCCCAGCTCCTCCTCCTCCTGAGCCTGGAGAAGGGCTGTGTGTGTCTGTCACCCAAAGGCATAAGGTCACCCTGGAGCCTTGCAAGTGTTCCACAAAGAGACCATCAGTAGGGGTTCACCCTAGCACAACCACCTTTACCCACAGTGTGAACGTGGGCACCACAAGGAAGAGGGGTGTCCTGCCTCCAGAGATGTCCACGGGGTACACAGGAAAGGAATGTGGGTTGTGGTGGTTAGTGTTGATTGTCAACTTGGCAGAATCTGGGCTCCCTCAGGCCTCCTGGCACACCTGGTAGGATGATCTTGACTGCATTAGCTAAAGCGGGAAGTCCTGCCCAGGGAGGTTGTCAACATTTCCTGACTGGGGTCTTGGAGTGAGGGAGCTGAGCAGCATGCATGTGACCAGCTGCTCCAGCTCCTGCTGCCTTGACTTCCTCACCATGATGGACAAATGGTATCTTGGATTGTGAGCTGAAATAAACCTTTCCTTCCTTAAGTTGCTTTTATCAGGGTATGTCATCACAGTAACAGGAAAAGAAACCAGGACTGGGTGTCAGGGGACAGAAGGGGGACAGAGGGTTAGCATGCCCATAGGCTCTCCAGAAGCCATGGGCACTGAGCTCTGTGAAGATGAGAGGGAGATGACAGCTTGGGACAGAGCACGGGGCAAGTTCTAAGAGGAAGGAGGGTGTAGACCCGAGTAGAGGCGCCTGTGGCACAGGCGCCTGGCTGGACATGGAGCTGCATCCCTGTGGTTCCTGGGCAGGGGTGTGGTGTGATGGGGTTGTAGTTTCAGAAGACCCTGGGACTGTCTTGGGAAAGTGTGCTGGATCGCTTTAGCATCAACTTGACATACCTGGGTAGAGGGAGCCTCAATTGGTGAACTGCCTCCACTGGATTGGCGTGTGGCCATGTCTGTGGGGCATTTTCTTGATTGTTGAGTGATGTGGGAGGGCCCAGCCCACTGTGGGTGGTGCCACCCGAGGGCAGATTGAACACGGGCCAGAGGAACAAGCCAGTAAGCAGTGCTCCTCCATGGTCTGTGCTCCAGGTTCCTGCCCTGAGCTCCTGCCTTCGCTTCCCTTGATGATGAATTGTGCTGTAAGCCAAGTAAACCCCTTCCTCCTGAAGTTAGTTTTGGTTAGTGATTTTTATCACGGCAATAGAAGAAAACTACGACAGAAAGCAAAACTTGGGGTGGGGGCTAAGGGAGCCCAGTAGAGGGAAAAGAAGGGGTCTGGGGTTGGTGCACAGTGTGACTGGACTCACCCACAATGATGTGCAAAGCCGACGTCTCTGCATCATTGGTGCCCACAGTGGAGTAGCACACACAATCTGTGGACCCTGCAAAGGGGAGAGAAAGGTCCTTAGTGCCACTGTAACCGCCCAAGACTTGCAATCAAGTGAGTGGTACCCACGACTATCCTTCCATGGCCCTCGAGCGGCCAGAATGAATTCACCCCAGAGTGAATACTGAAATCCTGAGACTGGCTCTGCAGTCTCATCATGCAGCTCCACGGGGAGTGGCCTGCAGCACACCCTGCACAGAGACCACCTTGAACGCTCTGGGAGCTCCTGAGAGACACCTGCAGTGCAGGCAGCCACTTCCCGCCCTCCCGAGGCTCTGGAAGGCATGTGGCACCTGCCTACCTCCACGTAGCCAGCTCACAACCTGGCCCAGACCACAAGAGCAAAGGGAGTCCTACACAGAGCATCACCAAGGGAAGGTATGTGGCAAGCGAGACTGACTGAAGGTCTCGGAATACCCTGCAAGCACCTAGCATTGCAAAGCATTGACACCAACACACAGCCGGCCATCAGGGAAAGCTGCACATGCTAACGAGCACAAGAGTGGCCAGCCCCACGCTCTGCCCTCAGTGGTCACTAATGACACTTGAGGGCACATGGTTCCAAACAGACAGTTAGATCATGGCACCAGGATCCTGTCCGCGTACAAGGCCCTCAGTTATGATTTAAGCTGACTTGTGGTGGTCCCTGCGCTGGTTGCCTGAGTTCCTCCAGTAGCACCACGTGAGCAGCCACTGCCTGTGTGCTGCTCAGCATGGAAGCTGTCCCTTGGCTGGGACAGAGCAGTTAGGAGCCACAGCCGAGTCGGCACCTCGGAACTATTCTGCCAAAGAAACTCATTTTGTGCTTTAATGAAGCGAAAGAAACATCACAACCTAGAATTTTTTTTGCAGACTTTTGAACCAGCTGGATCTAGTAGAAGTCACACAAACCCATCACTTCATATTCAATCCAATGAGAGGCAGTTCACACCACCCCTGATGCCCCTCAGTGCAGAGGCTGGATACGGCTCCGAAGGTTCTCATCTGCCACTTCACTGACTCAGGTGAGCGGCTGCTTCTGCTGGCCCCGCTGAGTGCGGCAACCTTCACGTTTAGGGTCAAGTTCAAAAGAGTTCTCTGTGTTCACAGAAACCCTGGGCATCCCCTACATATCTGATGATGGTAATTCTCCATCCGCCTAACCCACAGGCCAGCGCCAACTGGAGCTCAGCCCACACACGGTCCTGTTGGCATAGGAAAGAACAGGCTTCTGATCTGGCCCCTTCTAAGCAGTGGTCCGTTCCATGAGACGCTGAGCCTTGCTTTCTGACAAGATCTGCTCACTGAAGTTTAGAAAAGTCGACGCTATGAAAGCCTAACATGTACTCACATGGTACTTCAGAGGACATTCCCACCTGAGTCTAGGGACTTATCAGGTCTCAACATAGCTAGACAGCTCTGCCCCAGCACCGAGAGCTCTCTATGAGGAGGGGTACAGTGGCCAGGCTTGGGCGCCACAGGAGATGGATGCAGTCTCACAGGAGACCCACACGGGCCCAGGGAACCTGATCACGGAGTGTCCATGAGGAAGTCACCTTGGACATGTACTCAGAAGCCTGAGCTTTAGTGACCTTGGGTGGGGGAGTAAAGAGATGGGAGGTGCTTGCTTCAGGGTCTGCATGGACTTGGGGTGACATAGCCTCTGAGTTACTCAAGGAATCAGAATTCCCCTGGAACCAGCTCCAGGCAGAAAGACAAGCAACACCTCCATCCCATCCAGGACTGGAGCTTGGGTACAGACATGTGACGTATGCAGCTCACCTTGTGCTCAGTTAGTCATTCAACTACCATCCAGAGAGCCTTCCTGTGCTAGGCAGGGCCCTCCATCCCACTGGGGCACAGCAGTGAAGGCCACCCTTCCTTTCACCATGCTGTGGGCATCAGACATGGAAGGGCTATCAGAAAGGGCCGCCTGGGCAGTTCCAAATCCCTCTGACCTGAGTCCCTCTGACTACCTCCCTCCTGCCCACTCCTAATTCTTCAGAGGAGCCCAGAAGGGACGGGGAAATCAACCAGGGGCTCTGCTGGGGTCTCATGGGTCACTGTGATGAACAAGGTATGAACTAAGGACCTGCAAATGCAAAGGGCTCTACATCTTTGGCTAGAAAACCAACTGGATCTTCCCTCAGGGTCTCACAACCAGCCTCTCCTGGTCCCAAAGGACTGGGCCACTGGTAAGCACACTCATTAAACCTGCAGGGGATGAAGGTACACTCTGAAATATCCTAGCTGCCCCCACCAAACTTTCCCCAAACTAAGGGGCGCAATATGGGTTGATTGTGATCCTTTAGTATGTAACTAGAGCCAGATCTGATGCTAATGCAAGTTCCTCTGACAAGTCCCTAAGAACACCCATAAGGCCACTCTCCACGGGGACAACTGCCTTATGCCATTACTCACAAGGTCTGTCAGTAAACGAGGGGGTTAGATTTGAAGACAATGCCATCAAGAATGAAGATTGAACAGCTCCCGCTGGGAGCACCACATTCCTAGGGCAGGTGTTTCTTCGCCTTGCAGAAAGGGCTCGGAGTTCCCATCTCCGGTTCCACCTGGTGACTTGGCCCCTGTGCCTCCTGTTTGCACCCTTAAGATGTGGATAGTTGAACTATATGACAATGAAGTTATGCCACACTGGCGGTGGCCAAGCTATGCAAGACCCCAGGCTTGCTCAGACCTGTCAATTGTTTATGAAGCTCAGTCAGCAGCTCACAAGCTCCTGATCTACTTAACACTGATGGTGTCAGCTACTCAACACTGTGATAAAATAGCCAAGCAACACAACCTAAGGGAGGAGAGGCTCACTTTGCTCATGGTTTCAAACTATCATGACAGAGAAGGCATGACATGGCAGAGCAGCTCACCACACAACAGCCAGAAAGCAGAGAGAGAGAGAGAGAGCTCTGCACTAGCTGGATCTCCTCCCTCCCACTCACTCCACTGTGCATGCCCCAGCCTATTGTGGACGGGGCCACCCACATTCAGGGCAGGTCTTCCCCTGTCAATTAGTCCTTCCTGGAAATGCTCTCACAGACATATCCAAAAGTGTGCTTTCCTAATCTCTTAGGTGCCTGTCAACCCAATCAAATTGAAGGTCAAGATTACATGGAGTTTTCTAAGAATGAAGCACTCCCTAGGAAAGCATTAACCACAACAAGCCAGATCAACACCTTCAGAACATAGCCTGACCTCCCATACCCTCCTCCCACCACAGGCAAAGTCCTGCCCTGGGTTCTGCCAGCACCTCCCTCTGTATCCCCTCCCTTGCAGGACCCCTGTGCAAGTTCCTTTTGCCTTAGCTCCCAGCTCTTTCAGGCTGGTTAGAAGCCACTTCTTCCAGATGACCCCAACAATCACTGGTGTCCCGGGCCAGGCACCAGCTGACTCCAGGATAGCAGTCCCTCTTGCCCTCAAGTGTTGCTTTTCTGAGAGCAGAGACAGTCCTGTCTACTGCAGGTTCTCAGTGCCCTGCCTGACAAGGCTCTCAGGACAGCAGGACAAGGCTCCTCCCAGGCACGCAATCAGGTTCATTCCTTTCATAATACATTATTTCTCAAAAAGGAATGCAATTTTTAGAAATGATAAAATCATATTTTTGTTTGAGAAAGGATCTCATGTAGCCTAGGCTGGCCATAAGTTAATTATGTGGCTGTGGATGACCTTCAATTCCGGATCCTCCTGCCTCAACCCCCTGATTGCAGAAACTCAATTTAAATGAAGGATGAACCAGGAATGATATTTCCCCCACATGGAACCTTAATCCCGGGGAGGCCGTACCAACTAAGTGGGGGTGTAACCACATGACTGAGTGTAACTTTATGACTGGGTGTCTGTGCATGCAGATCTCCTCTTGAGGATAACAGCAAAGAGAAACCTTGAGTGTGCCCTACCTGCAGGGATGATGCCGATCCTGAGGGTGCTGGGGACCAGCACAGCTTTGGAGTGGTTGGGGTCGATGCCAGCGCTCCGCTGCGTCCTCCCAATCAGTCCGTGCAACACCTCGCTAAACATACCATCCCCGCCGACGCACACGATGCTACAGAAGAAGCACAGGTCTGTCAGGCCTGTCAGGCCTCCATTTTTGGCAGCTGGGGGACAGCTTACAAGTTTGGCCCTGGCCAGCGTCTGGGAACTTGGCTCTGGAGCCACTCCCTAAGTGCTGAGTCCTGCCAGCCTGCCTACCCTGCTTCTGCAAACAACAGGATTCTTGGCAAACTGGAGAGTAGCATCTTCGTGGTTGCCCGGCAAAGAACACACATATGACCAGTCTTGGCCAACCACCATTAAAAAAAAAAAAAGAAACCCATGACTCATGCCGGGTGTGGTGGCGCACGCCTTTAATCCCAGCCCTCAAGAGGCAGAGGCAGGTAGATCTCTATGAGATCCAGACCAGCCTGGTCCACATAGTGAGTTCTAGGCAGGGAGAAAAATAACAACAACAACAATAATAATAATAATAACAAATAAATAAATAAACAAACCCATGACTTGAGATTGAGTGTAGCTCAGTGGTAGAGAATTTGCCTTGCATGCAAATACCCTGAGTTCAGTGACCAGCACTGCAAAAGTAGAAAATAAAGATTAAAAAACACTGAGTCTGGAGACTCAAGCTTGCTGGGCAGGAACACAGCTCCATGGGGCGGCATTTCTGCATATAGAGAGGGCACGCTCTGGGAGGTGCTCATGGGCAGGGGATGGCATGGGGGCCTGCACCAGTATCCTCCTGTACTGATCTACTTGAACGGCCCTACTATCCACAGATGTGAACCTCAGCTGAGAGGAGGACTCTACACCTGTTATCAGTCACCAGCCCTGAGAGTAGTCTCAGGAACTCCACAAACAGCAGCACAGGGAACCAAATAAGGTCAGGTGAAATGAGTGGGTAAGAAAGTATAGTGGGGGCTGGAGAGACAGCTCAGCAGACCCAGGTTTGGTTCCCAGCACCCATGTGGCAGCTAACAACCGTCTGTTAACTCCAGTTCCAGGGGATCCAACGCCCTCTTCTGGCCTTTGGTGGTAAGGGTACTGCAGGGCATGGGTGCACTTACACACATGCAGGCAAAATACTCATACACATAAAATAAAAGCAATAAATTGTTTTTAAGTATGGGGAAATTAAAGGGAGAAAGAGAGCTGGGGCTAGAGCGAGGGAGAGCAGGTTTTAGGTGTGCTATCTAGTGCTGGGGATGACTGAGGAGTGGTATGGCTAGGTATCCATGTGCATGTGGGGGACAGGCATGTCTTATGACACAGAAGGAAGGCCACGGATGTGCTCATAGTCCATGACGGCAAGAGCCTCCACAGGAAGCAGGAGGCTCAGCCACAGTGGAGATGAGGATCAGGCTTGGGCTGGGGTCCAGTAGAGAGAGTCATGTGTAGAAGGGTTGTCCATGAGGGAGGGGGTCAGCTGACCTGGGGTATAGCACAAGGAGGCCCTTAGATCTGAGAGCAGTCAAAGTGCCCAGCTCTTCTTCAGCCTGTCTGGCTGTGTATATACAAGTACAGTCTCCAGGGCTGGGGTTTCTACCACAAGTCACCTTGCATGGCACAGCCTTAAAGGACACCTCCCATGGGAAGGCTCCTTGACCACCTCCCTGCAGTTCCTGCAGACTGCACAGGGTCACCTGCCCCTACACGGGCTGTAGTTTCAAGGACAGGGACCACAGGCAGGCCTTAGAATGTGCAGCAACCTCTATCACAGCTGTGGTAGGCACTCAACAAAAGCTCATGGGCCATGATGCCTAGGGAAAGGCATACAAATGGCCTCCACAGACACTTGCTGTCATGTATACAGACACACATATACACATAATTAAAAATTTAAGACAAGAAGCCAGCTAACTTTTACAACTGGGATGATGATGGTGGTGGTGGTGGTGGTGGTGATGATGATGATGATGGCAGTAATTGTGGGAATGAGGAGGGATGCTTGGGTCTCCATTAGCATTCACTGCCTGTGATCAAGTGGACTTACCCATCATAGCTGTCTATGTTAATCTCATATAAAGTCTCCTTGGCTTGGTTGGCGTGATCCGTAACTGTGGGAAAACAACGCATGGCACCGTTAGTCTTCACACCTTGGAACCCACACAGAAGCTAACCAGCCAGTCCCCATCCTTTTACAAGTCCCAGAAAGCCCCCGGGAGGACTTTCCCACAGGAAATCCCTCCTCAGATCTCACCCAACTCCCCCTCAGGGAGGAGTAAGGTAACCCTCTCAGGATACATTCTACCCAGTGAGAGCTGATATTGTCAACAAATAATTTGTTGCAATTTTACAGCAATTAAACACAGTTTCTGTTTTACATTTTTCCTTAATATATAGCTTACTTTAAATTTTTTAGAAAAATACCAAAATGTGGGCAGGAAATAATGTTAACTCAAAGTCTTCATACCCAATGTGAAAAACACAATCTCTACTGAAATTGTAATGCTCACACAATTCTGTGTGTTTTCCCATCATATCACAACTTTTTTAAAAATTAATTTTGAGGCCAGATGTGGTGGGACACGCCTTTAATCCCAGCACTTGGGAGGCAGAGGCAGGCGGATCTCTGTGAGTTCAAGGCCAGCCTGGTCTACATAGTGAGTTCCAGGACAGCTGGGGCTACAGGGAGACCCTGTCTCAAAAAGACCAAAAAATATTAATTTTGAATTATTTGAAAGGACCCTTTAAAGGTGCTGTATATTAAGCTGGATGTGGTGGTGCATGCCTTTAATCCCAGCACTGGATACCTGTGTGCCTCAATCTTGGTGAGCACCTGACTATTCCTAAGAAATAGGAAGCAAAGGATATTGGGGAAAAAAATCCTCAGTCTTTAGGCTTTTGACTCGTATTGCTAAGTAGTACCCCCTTCCCTTTTTTTTAATCTTTTTGAGACAGGGTCTCCCTGTAGCTCCAGCTGACCTGGAACTCACTATGTAGACCAGGCTGGCTTGAACTCATAGAGATCCACCTGCCTGTGAGTCCCACAATGCTGGCATAAAGGAATGTACATCATGCCTGACCACTTTTTGTTTTTTTCTTTGAGATGGGCAACTTACTATATAGCCAGGCTGGCCCTGAACACCTGATCTCCTGCCTCAGCCTCCTGAGTGCTAGAATCACAGCCATGCCAGCTGCACTAAGTAGCTTGCTAACAGGGTTATACAAAGTCCCTAGAGGCCTGCAGGCCCAGTGGGCCCTGCCTGTCTCCTTCTCTGGGTGCTGAGATGTGGGATTATGTTTTGTAAAATGACTGTTGCATTATTTCTAAGACATCATTCCCTTGTATCTTTTCTTGCATGAACTTCCTTTTTTGCCTTTATACAGGATCTTACTATGTAGCCCTAGCTGGCCTGGAATTCACTATGTAGACCAGGCTAGCCTCCCTCTCACAGAGATCTGCCTGTCTCTGCCCCCCAAGTGTTGGGATTAAAGGTGTGCAACACCAATGCCCAGCTTGTTCTTCTACCTCTTTATTGTTTCTGTGAGCACTTTGCATGCTGAGACTCGGCTAGAGAAGGCGTTATTATCTCTTTGGCGTTCTTTCCAATCAAGTGCATAAAAAGTGTCATGTTGGTTGGGAGTGTGGCTCACCTGGTAAGAGTGCTTGCCTAATGCGCAAGGGGTTGTGAGGTCAATCCCCAAGACCACATAAACAGGGCATGGTGATATATACCTGTGATCCCAGCACTTAGGAGTTGGAGGCAGGATTTCAAAAGTCATCCTTGGCTACAAAGAGAGTTTAAGGCCAGCCTGGGATACATGAGGTCCTGTCCCCAAAAGAAAATAACAACAATACAACAGGCTGGAGAGATGGCCAAGTCGTTAAAGGTTTAGGCTCATTACCTAAAAGACAAAGAGTTTTATTTTGCTTACAATAATTGATAAAGTCTTCCCCAGTGGCCACATGTGCACGTCTCTCAAGCTCACCCCTACACGCTCACCTTTGCATGCTATTCCCTGAACATCTTCCCTGTAAGCTTGTCCCTGAAGGCTCACCCCTGGCACACACCCCTGGCATACAGCCCTACATACTTTCCCAGGTGTCAACACACTTACTGATGATCTCAGTGGTGATAGAGGCCAAGGTGAATAGTGGTGCCACTTTTCTCTCATAGATCCGCTTACCCTGGCCTTTTCCCCCAAATGGGTTGATAAATACCAGCAGGTGCTTTGGTCTTGAAGCTGAAAAACAATATGAACATTGTGGAAATCTCAGTGGTGTGATAAAGTCGAGCTTGAGAACTAGGTCACTAGTGACAGTCAAACATGGTTTTAAACCTTCAAGAACAGAGGCAAAGTGTTCCTGTTCTACTAAAGGAGAAAAGCCGCATGTTGAGATGCGGGGTGGGGGTGGGGGGATCAGGAATGTCCCTGTCCTGCTGAGTCCCATAAGGTATGAGCGCAGATCAGATGGCTGTGGCTCCTTTGGCTCCTAGAAAGGAGGCATGCTTGGGAGGGTAAGAACCAGACAGCTGTACACAAGTTAGCCCAAGGGCTGAGGACAGAAAGGCAGACACGGAAAAAGACGGCATGGTGGAACAGAGAGGGTGAAGAGGCCCCCACCATGTCCAGGCCCAGGTTGCTGTGCACCCCGAGTTTCCTGTGCACCCCGAGTTTCCTGCGCACCCCGAGTTTCCTGCGCACCCCACTTTGTCAGGTCATCTTCCACATTTCTACTTTGGTCAACTCAAGTACATTCTGCTACTTAACAAATTTAACAAATCAAAGTAACATGAAGGGAGGTGCCCGAGGAAACTGAACATTTAAGTCCACACTGAGACTTGGATGCCAGTGACCATGGTGGTGCTATGCCATAGCCATAGTGGGACCCCCCCCCATGCAGCGGGTTAGTGAACGGCAAACTGAGAACTCTGCAGCGCTGCCAAGTGGACAAGTGTGGAAAACGCCATGCTAGGGACCAGGCTGCACACCAAACAGCTCACCTACAGGAGTCTGTTTACACAAGGCTCTAGAGTTGGTAAAAAACAAACAAAACAAAACAAAAAGTCAAGACCAGCCGATGTAGCTGCTCTCCTAACCAGAGAAAACAAAATTACTGAGCTGGGGGGAAAGCTCAGTGGTAGAAGAATGCTTGTCCGGCGTGGAGGAGGCCCTGGATTTCATCTTTAGCAGAGATGGGGCAAGAAAACAAAATTACTGAGCTGGGGGGAAAGCTCAGTGGTAGAAGAATGCTTCCGGCGTGGAGGAGGCCCTGGATTTCATCTTTAGCAGAGATGGGGCAGGCCTTGGAGGAATAATTTGGGGGTGGGGGGTATGGGCTGGGGTTAAATGCCCTGGAGGTTTTAAAACTGCTGGCATGGTGGTGCATACCTGTAATTTCACTACTTGAGGTAGGGGTAGGAAGATCAGGAGTTCAATTTGGTTCTAGACTAGGCTACATCAGACTCAGTCTCAAATAAACAAGTAAAAAAATAAACTTAAAATCTGTTTTGTGGGGCCAGGTGTGGTGGCATGCACCTTTAGTCCCAGCACTTGGGAGGCAGAGGCAGGTGGATCTCTGGTCTACATAGTGATTTCCGGGCCAGCTGGGGCTACAGGGAGTCCCTGTCTCAAAAAGACCAAAAAAAAAAAAAAAAAATCTATTTTGTGATATTTTATCATTTTCTGAAGTACTATCAATTTTGCCTCAGAAAAGCCAGGTGCACAGCTGAGGAGAATGCTCAGCAAAGGTGCTCAGTCAGTAACAGTGTTAGCTGAACAAGCCTGAGGACTTGAGTTCTGATCCTTGGCACATGTGTAAAAAGCCAGGCCAGCAGCTCTCATCTGTAATCCTAGAGTGGGGAGAAGGATCCCTGGGGACGGCTGACCCACCAGTGAGCCAAATTATAAAGCTCCAGGTTCAGGGAAAGACCCTGAAATAAGGGGAGCAATGGAGGAAGGCACCAGATGTCCAGCCTCTAGCTGTGTGACGCGTGTGCGCGCGCACACACACAAGCACACTCAGACACACACACTCACACACGCATGCACACACACACACACACTCATGCACGCACACACCTCCCTACTAAGAAATCCCGGGCCTGGATAGTTTCACCACTGAAACTCCTCCAAATGCTTAAGGGAAACAGTCTCAGCCCTGTGTGACCTTTTCCAGAAGAAACAATTTTGAGTGCTTTGTGAGAAGACACTGTGACCTAGACGGCCAAACCAGACACGGTGTCACCAGAAAGGAAGTCACAAGCCTGCCTCCCCCAACCCAGGAGAGCGATCATCAGGAAGTCAGATGCAGTGATGCAGAAAGTGGGCGATGGCACAAGTGGGAGGCCACTCTAGCACACACAGGGTTAACCTGACTGCCAGTCAACACGCTGACTCCAACCAAGCTCACAGTACACACAGGAGAAATGGTCACTAAAGCCAACACTTGGGACTGAAAAAAAAAAAACAACTCTCAAAACACTCAGAATTCTTAGAAGAGAATTTCCTTAGTCTGGTGAAAAGCATTCTGTCACATTCCTAACGGTGCATCCCCAAAGTCAGGGCTGAGACAGGCAGGCTGCAGTCACACTTTGCTAGAGCCCCAGCCTGGGCAGCACAGGTAGAAAACGGACAGAAGGGAGGGACCACCCCTGCCCACGCTGACACAACTGGGCCTGATGTGAATCCGAGGAACTGAGCAAGTCTCAGAACTAATGATGGATCTGGTGAGAAGCACAGACTTCTATTAAACACACACGTGGTTCAAAGTGAAAACCAGGGCTCAGCAGTTAAAAGCACTGGCTGCTCTTGTAGAGGAGTCAGTACCCGCATGGCATCTCACAAGTGTCTATAACTCCAGTTCCAAGGGATCTGATGCCCTCTTCTGGCTTCTGAGAATGCTGCACATACATTCCTGAAGGCACACACACATATACATAAATAAAAATGAATAAACCTTGTTTTAAAAGAAAACCAATGTGGGCCAGATGTGGTGGTTTGAACCTATAATTCCAGTACTTGGGAGCTAAGGTAGGGGGAATCATGAGTTGAGACCACCTTGGGCTACAGAGAGAGGGCCCTCACCGAAAGATAGACATGAACATATGTCTGCACTCCAGTGGACGGTTCCATACCCACGAGTTTATAGGCAGCACAAACTGGACTTGGTGGGTTATTTAAGAGTATGCAAAGTATTTCTAAACTTTATTAACTATCACAGAAATACAGATTAATACCGTAATGAAAAACAGCTAACCCCAGCACACTGGCTGAACTTCAAAGGTGTGGAAAGGATGTGGAGCAAGTGATTGCTGGTGTGGGTGCGGGGCAGGATCCCTTGGGAGACTTTCTGGCAGTGCCCACTGAAGCTGGAACATATTCATGCTCCTCAGCCCAGGCCCACACCATAATGAAACGACACAGGCATAAAACACGCACAGGGATGGTCTCCACTCTTTCATGCAGGTGGTCCAGAGGAAACCATTCAGATGTGTCTCAGCTGTGAGCGATGGCACATTCATACCATAGGTGCTGAGCAGCCCAGCCACAGGTGAAGACAGGGACAAGCTTCACATAGACAGTGTTCAGCCCAAATCCAGGCACAGAGAAGCTGATGCTGTCTCCTAATTTCTAAAATGCAGAAAAACAGATCTGGAAGTCAGGGTCACAGTGGGGGTCTGGAGGCTGGCTATGCTCCCTGTTGGCTCCGTGTGCTCTTCCAGAGTGTGCTGTGTGAAACTCACCGGGCAGCACACTCAGAATACATGGACTTCTCTGTTTACTTCGATAAAACATTAAAACAAGGCTGGGGAAGGTTCATCTTGGAGCGGCGGGGGGGGGGGGGGGGGGGGGGGCAGAAAGACTGTAAGAGTCAGAGGTCAGAGAGGACTGGAGCTAAACTGTCTTCTGGACAGGAGAGGACACTGCACTCATGAACGCACAGCAGCTTTGGTTACCCACACAAGACCTGCACAAGATCTAACCAGTCAGTACTCTAACACGGATGCAGGGAGGCTTTTGGGTCCTCACCTCCAGCTGAGGAGCTACTGACAGCTGATGGCTTCTGGGCGAAGGACAGTCAGTTTCTTTAAGGGTGTGGTCCCTGGTAGGTTGGCTACACTCCAGTGGATGGTTCCATACCCATGAGTTTATGGGCAGCACAAACTGGACTTGGTGGGTTATTTAAGAGTATGCAAAGTTGGGGAGGAGTGGATCTGGGAGGAGTTAGGGGAGGACTATGGAATTAATATTAGCAAAATACATTGTACTCAGGTATAAAGTTTTCAAAGATCATATGGAAAAGAAATCAAAGTAAGGGCTCAGCCAGTAAAGTGCTTGCACCAGGATATGAGTTTGATCCCAGAACCCTCGTTAAAAAAAAAAAAAAAAAAAATCCAGGTGTGTTTGCGTGTTTGTACTTCCAGCACTGGGGAGGGGGTAACAAGTGGATTCCTGGGACTCAATAGCCAGCCAGCCCGACCTAATCATTAAGCTCCAGGCCAGTGAGAGACGCTATCCAAAAAAGGATGCCTAAGTTATACAAGATTACCCTCTGGCCTTTACATGAACACACACACACACACACACACACACACATAGAGAATCAGAACTAAAATTAGGGCAGCTGAGATCATAGACTCATGCGCTGTTTGGTACCCACATGCATTTTCCATGAACTACATAAATTATAAATCCACATTATTCCAGGGCACTCAGGGCCCATGGGCAGATTCAAGCCGGATGATGACTCAGCCTCACAGAAAACAACAGACTTGGCAAGAAGTCAGGGAGCAGATGTGGGAGGAAGCGTCTACAGAGGAGAGGCGAAGGCTGGAGAAACTGAGGCAGCTCAGAGAGGAAGCCAAGGAACAGAGGTCGCAGCAGGAAGGTCAGGGTAAACTAGAAGGGCTGCAGGTAGTGAACTTGGTGCCACAGTAAAATAGGAATTCAGAAACCAGTCCTTCCCCCCAGATGTGCTTTTCAGGCCTGGGAGCCCAGAGGTGAGGCACGCCGACGCCTGCCTCAGATCTTCAGATACACCGCAGTTCATCTCCTCTCCATTCTGTCCTCTTCCCTTTTTCTCTTCCCCTTCAGAATTCTGAGACACAGTCTCAATCTGTAGCCCAGGCCCGCCTGCAATTGGAAACCCTCCTGCCTCAGCCTCCCAAGTGCTGAGATCACAGGCACACACCACCATCCCTGCCTTTTTAAGTTCACTTTTTAATTTTTTAATTTACTTTTTTATTTTATGTGTGTGTCTTGCCTTCATATATGAAAGTGCAACAGAGTCATGCAATGCCCTTGGAGGCCAGAGGAGGGCGTCAGATCCCCTGGAACAGGAGTTATGGTCAGCTGTTAGCTGCCACGCAGGTTTTGCCCTCAATTCAGTTTTACATATACAACTGCCAAATTAACTCAAAAAGGTAAAAAGCCCACGCAGACAGTGCCGTTTCTATTCTGCAGTCAAAGCATACAGGAAACTCATCCTCACCGTGCACTAAGGTTGTAACCAAAGACTATGACAAAGAGCACGAGTGAAAAGTGAACAAGCAGCTTTGTGCTCAAGGTGACAGCGGAAACAGCTCCCTCAGGACACTCACTACCCACCGGGCTCTGCGGGCCGTATCTCAGAGACCACACCTCCAAGGGTTCAGAAGTGGTTCCTCCGCGCCCTGTCCAATTCTCATTTGCATCTAGAATGTCTAATTCCCCACCTCACTTTTAGAGAAAGAACCAAGGCTTTAGGCCCTAAGGGACCTGCCTCCAGGCCGATTGCTCATAAGCAGGGTGCTAGATGCCAA